ACAGCGGGTAGGGCGTTCGCCTTACAAGCGGCCAACATGGCCGACCCGAGTTCGATTCCTCCGCCCCTCTCGGAGAGCCCGGCAAGCTACCGAGAGTATTCGATATGCCAGACACAGTAACAACAAAGTCTCCAATGGAGACGTTACTGGGCCCGCTCGAGCTCGAGCAAATTTTTATTAGTGAAACACCATGAGGTACAGTTGTAGACTTACAAAGTTTTGTGCTTGGATTTCAATTATAAAATGATCAAATACCCATTCCTCCACCAGTGCCCATTTCTCACCACCACGGATCCCAGTATCCCTCCCACCCCCCATCCCCCCCATCCCACCCTGCCTCTGTGGCAGGGCATTCCCTTTTGTTCTCTCTCTCTCTTATTGGGTGTTGTGGTTTGCAAAAGAGGCAATGGGTGACAATCATGTTTGGTCTATAGTCTACTTTCAGCATGCTTCTCCCATCCTGGGAGGATCCTTATTATTATTATTTTTTGCTTTTTGGGTTGCACTGGCGATGTACAGGGGTTACTCCTGGCTCTGTATTCAGGAATTACTCTTAGTGGTGCTCAGGGGACCATATGGGATGCTGGGAATCGAACCTGCAAGGCAAATGCCCTAACCGCTGTGCTATCGCTCCAGCCCCAGAGGAAACAAACTTAAGATGTAGGAAGATGGATTAAAAAATTGTAATTGTAGGGTGGGATGGGGTCGGGGATGGAGCAGTGAGATAGTACAGCAGATAAGGCACAAACCTGGATTTGATCGTCTGTGTCCCATATGGTTTCCAAGCCCTCCATGAGTGATCCCTGAGCACAGAGCCAAGAGTAAGCCCTGAGCGCTACTGGGTGTGAACCAAAAAGTTATCCCACTTCCCCCTCCCCCCGCCAAAAAAATGTAGTGCGGTCTCTGCATGTAGTGTTAGTAGAGATGGAAAGAACTAAAATAATTACTTATGTGTATTTAGAAGTCATTAATCCTGATTCCTGTGCCATTTTTGAGCTTCTTAATGTTTGTAGTAGGAATAATGATTTAATGATTTTACCCCAGTTTCATAAATATAATCCTAAAATGTAAATTATTTTACTCAAATTCTTATTTTTTTTAAATTAAAAAAAATTATTGAGGCACTGTGAGATACAGAGTTACAAAGTTGATCATGGTTGGGTTTCAGTCATACAGTGTTGCAACACCCATCTCTCCACCAGTGTACATTTTTTAAAAAAAATTTATTTTATTTTTATAAAAGTAGTTCACAGTAGTTCATTACAGATAATATTCAAACACCAGTCCCAGCATCAAGCACCAAGCACCTTCCTACCACAATAAAAGAGAAGTTTCACCAGTGTACATTTCCTGGCACCAGTGTTCCCAGTTTCCCTCTCACTACCGCCCCACCCCCACCCCCTGTCTCTATGGCAGGCTCTGTCTCGCTCCCTTCCTCTTTCTCTACCGCCCCCCTCCACTTGGGGTATTATGATTCGCAATACAGGTACTGAGAGGTTATCATGTGTAGGATAATATTGGTTTGCCCTTCCTCCCTGGCCATTGGGAGCTTGTGAATTACCCACACCTGTCAATTACCTTTGTCTCCTGATCAGACTCAGACTTGTAAATATTGTCTTTCTCTTCTCCTTAATGTCCTTTGCATGGTTAGCTATTTCAGAGCAATTGCTTTTTGTATGGATACAGGAAGACAGTTAAAAAGACAAGCCTGTGGTTTGGGAATTGATTGACTCCAGATAATATTACCTCCTGGACATCTGCTCTCTTGACTTAAGCCTCAGTTGCCCTTACTTCCGAGATCCCCAAAAGCAGGGGCATCGGTGAGGGACTGGATGGAACCAGGGCAAGTGGTGAGCTAGCTACTTTGGCATGGAATTGGGTCTGGCCAAAGTGCCACAATGCTTAACTATAAGTTAAGAGCTCAGTCATGGACAAATTCTGTCATGATCCAAAAAGTAATAACTAGATTTGGACCCTGCTGGGGTTAGGAGTAATTGATCCGTCCTGTGCACTGTAATCTGAGTCTGTAGTGAGATGTTCCCAGGAGAGTCACCCTACAAGCCTAAAAGTGTCGATTACTGTATCCATACAGAATGGTAAATATTAGGAAGTAGAATTAAAGATGTTAATTAAGTTTCGGGTCTAAGGAGAGGAGAAACACATCTTAAGCGCTGCTTTGCTCTTGTGGGCTGCAGGTGGTCAGGAAGACTGGAAAAACAGTTTTGATCATGCTTCCTGTGGGGAGGCGTGGTGAGAGGATAAAAGAGTGGCTCTGGGGAGAAAGGGATTGATTGATTGAAGGAAAAAGGGGGATTGAAGGAGAAAGTAGAGAGAGAGTATGTATACAGTGGAAAGAAAAAAAGAATTACATGGTTAGAGATAGACACGGGGTGGGGGCGTATGTTGGATAGTGCTGTGAGAGAAGAGAGATTGAATAAACGGCAACTAATCAGCAACCAGCTTGGCCCTCCTTCTTCCTTTGTCAGTCTAAGGCAACAGCTGTCCTGGGTGGAGAAGTGGCTTGAGAGCACTGAACTTGGGGGCCAAAGAGCAAGCTACCCAGAGAGCCCGTGAACATCCTTTCACGTGTAGTGTGATCCCTGAGTGAAGGAGTTTTCACAGCTCTCTGCGCATGTGAGGGCCTCACATAGCGTGAGAGTAGGGATTTTTACAGCTGGCATCCCTGGGTGCAGGCCCGAATGACCAACTAAGGGAAAAAGAAATTACACAATCCTGTTTGTTCCTTTACCTGTTTTCAGCACGCAGTTCTTATCCAGAGTGATAATTTCCAACTGTCTTTGTCATGTGGTTCCTTCTCAGTCCCAACTGCCTTCTCCAGCGTTTGTATTTTCCTCATATTCTTGATGGCTCAAGTGAAACACTGGAATTCAAATCCAAGATTTCCATTTCAGGCCATAGAAAACGAATTTCTTAAGTACAATTATGTAAATAACATACATTGTAGAATTTGCAGGATATGTGTGTTTGATTAGATATGAATGTTCAGGAAAAAACTGTATTGTGTTTCCACCAGATTCCAACTTCTCATTTTAATCACCAGGTATTTTTTTTTTTAAAAGCTCACTTAAGCTAGAATTTTTGTTGTTCTTGTTGTTTTGTGGGGAGCTACACCAAGCTGTACTCAGGGGCTGATTCTTTGCTCTGTGCTCATGGATCACTCCTGGAGGGCTTGGGGGACCATATGGGATGCCAGAGATTGAACCAGGGTCGGTCACGTGCAAGGCAAACCCCTACCCACTGTACTATCTCTCCAGCCCCTTAAGGACTGGAGAGTTTTCAGTTTCAATCAGTAAATTTTTCAATCAGTAATTTTTTTTTTTACTGGAAATTTTGGATTTGAATTCTAGTGTTCCACTTGAGCTATCAAGAGTTTTCAACAGTAAATTTTTAATAAAATTTCTTGCAAATTTAAAATGTTTTTGCATCAAGTTTTTGAGGGAGTCAGTTAAGATCAGTTGGTTAAAACAAAAATTTTATTTATAAGTAATTTAATAAAGAAATGTTAGAATTAGATTGCAAGGCTAATATAAGTCAGGCTACTGCCCAGTGTGACAATAAACCATAACCTTTGATATTATCCTTTTTACCAGGCAAGAATTATTTTCATCATCAGAGGGCAAAATCTACAAGTAATTTAATAAAGAAATGTTAGAATTAGATTAACCTCTGCCCCTCCCGAGCTGTTAAAATCTCCATTCAATTGAAAACCAAAGGTGGAGCATAATACTACACTGAAAAGAATACCCGATAGTTTCTTTCCCCTCTGTTCAAGTGTTCAATAATTTTTATGTTTCCAGAGTTGTTTCAGACACTCTCCTCATCTCTGGTAATACTACTGTCTTTTCCTTATATTTCCAGGTCTTTCATGAGAACTTCCTCTCTTATAGTTAGGTGATAAAAATTATCATTATGTTTAGAGCTATGTTTCTTGACATTTTTCTTTGGCCCCTTCTTGTTTTCTTCTTGTGACCCCACTCTCCTACCAGTTGCTTTCCTAAGACTCCTGTTGGGGCCCCCAGTTAATGAGACTTTCACCTCTGGGCTTGGAGTATCCTGGGGATAACGACAGAGGTTCATACATCACCTGGCTGATAAACCTGGTATAGAACATCTTGACCACAAAATGACTTTAATTGTAGATCAGGAAAATGTTTCCTGAGCATTTTCGTGTCCTTGTTTGGGGCTGAAAATTGAAGTGACAGAGTCAGTTCAACAGAGAAAAAACTTCAGTATATCTAAAGATCACAAATAACTTAATAAGGAACAACCTTGTATTAATATTAAGAATGCACAGTCATGTGTATACAAATGTAATACATTAGAAAATATGTTTGAGGGTAGTGAGAGTTTTGTTGTCCCATTCATTTAACAGTTGAGTTTATTCCAGTTTGAGGTCCATATCTGGTTAGTGATAGAACCAGGATCATTTAAATCCAGTGTCTCTTGTTTCAGTTTTATTTATATATAATATATATATATATATATATATATATATTGCTTTTTGTGTCATACCTGGCGATGCTCAGGGATTACTCTTGGCTCTACACTCAGTATTACTCCTGGTGGCGTCGGGACCATATGGGATGCTGGGAATTGAACCCAGACTGGCCGCGTACAAGGCAGATGCCCTACCCACTGTGCTTTTGCTCCAGATCCTCAGTTTTATTTTTAACTGTGCCGTTCCGATAGGAACTCTTAGCAGATGATTCTGAATTCTAAGAAGACAGTAATATTTTAATATAAGTTTGTTTGTTTTTCTGTACTTAATATATCATAGATTCTGAATCATTATTTATTAATTTTAACTCTGAAAGATAAGTAAGAAACCAAGAGACAGAGTCTAGTATATTTTATTCTTGTAATATGGCATATTTTGATTCTTATAGTCTGTTATTTTTTATTGCTATGTGCTAAGGAAGAACCAATGAAAATATTTCAAACCATTAAATCTCTATTCTTCCTTTTATCCACTCCAACAGATTTCCAGCATAAAATTACTGTGCAGGCATCTCCCAACTTGGACAAAAGGAGAAGTTTGAACAGCAGCAGCTCCAGCCCACCCAGCAGCCCCACAGTAATTCCTCGACTTCGGGCTATACAATGTAAGCTGCATCCTCTGGCAAGGGGGGCTTCAGTATTGATTTCTGCCATAATTTGACATGGATTTTAGTGATGCATACATATTTTAAGTATTACAACTGTAATACTTCTAATACTTATACTGATACTTATAATTTCTTAATACTTATACTAATACTTATACTAATACTATACTTATACTATACTATACTTATACTAATACTTATACTATACTAATACTTATACTAATACTTATACTAATACTTATAATTTATTTAGATTTTATTTCCCAGGTTCGATTCCTCCACCCCTCTTGGAGAGCCTGGCAAGCTACCGAGAGTATTTCACCCGCATGGCAAATCCTGGCAAGCTCCCCATGATGTATTCACTATGCCAAACACAGTAACAACAAGTCTCACAATGGAGACGTTACTGGGCCCGCTCGAGCAAATCCATGAACAACGGGAGGACAGTGCTACAGTGCTACAATGCAGTGCTATTTCTTTAGATTTTATTCCACTGGGCATTGGACCAGACCGTTGAGTAGAAAGTGAAATACCATATCTTAAAGCATTTTGTCATTTGCCATATAACATTGGCATAATAACTATCTCATTAGTATAGTTTTGTTGTGATATAATATCACTGTCATCCCGTTTGTTCATCGACTTACTTGAGCGGGCGCCATTAACATCTCCATTCATCCCAGCCCTGAGATTTTAGCAGCCTTTCCTTACTCATCTTTCTCAATGCTGCCGTATTGGAGGTTCTTTCAGGGTCAAGGGAATGAGACCTGTTATTGTTACTGTTTTTGGCATATTGAATACGCCATGGGTAGCTTGCCAGGCTCTGCCGATGATGTAAATTTGAAAAATGAAATCTAAAATTCGCAGTCTTTCCATTTCTTATTTGGTAGAGAAAAAATTTTCTGCTTCCTGAGTTCCAACTTTAATGTATTTCAACTTTAACCAGACTAATACCTCAAAACACAATGTGGTATTTTGGTTTTAGAATATTTTCTGGGCTCCTGGGGATTGCAGTGATAGAATTACCTTCCTGTACACATGAGCTATGAGTGTGAGCACCACAGATCATATTTTGTAGAGCCCAGGAATCATGACAGGGTGTGCAATCTCCTATACACGATAGTCAAGTGTGCCCATCCCTGTTAGTACAGCAGCAAAACCAGCAGCAGCGGGAAGAAAGGGGGAAGAGAACAAATGAGATCTGCCTAGTAGAACAATTGAATGTTGCTAATTTGCTTGGCATTTTTATTCTTTCATTTTTACTTTCCATGTCTCTCTGAGTGGGGAGGGTGGGAATGGGGATGGACTGGGAGGTGGCAAAGATCTGTGCAGTTGAAATGGACGGGAGGGGGGGCGGGGTTCTGGAGAGGTGGAGGAAGTGCTGTAGCTTTCTGTTTGCTTAGGAAGGTAGATGGGAGCGGGGCACTAAGTAATTTATTTTCTGAAAAGTGGTTAGTAGGTCACATTCATTGTAAATCTCTAGGATCCTAAATGAAAGTTCAGTGGAATGAAATTAAACTGTTGGTTGTTTTTTAAGGCAAAACAAAGTTAACTTCAAAATTAGGCTAAGCAAAGAGTAAGAGAGAGATAATGTTGATTCTCCCCATCCATGAACGGGGGATATTTTTCCATTTCCTCCTGTCCTCTTTTGTTTCCTGAAGTAGTTTTCTTTGTACAGGTCATTTACTTCCTTAGTTAAACTGATTCCTAGGTACTTGATTTTCTGGGGCACAATTGTGAATGGGATTGTTTTCTTCATGTCACTTTCTTCTCTTTCACTATTTGCGTATAGGAAAGCCATGGATTTTTGGGTATTGATTTTATAGCCTGCCACTTTACTATACAAGCCTATTGTTTCTAGGAGTTTCTTGGTAGAGGTTTTAGGGTTCTCTAAGTATAGTAACATATCATCTGCGAATAGTGAGAGCCTAATTTCTTCTTTCCCTATCTGGATGCCCTTAATATCTTTTTCTTGCCTAATCGCTATTGCAAGTACTTACAGTACTATATTGAACAGTAGTGGAGAGAGTGGGCATCCTTGTCTCGTCCCTGACCTTAGGGGGAAGGGTCTCAAGTTTTTCCCCATTGAGGATGATGTTTGCTGTAGGTTTGTGGTAGATGGCTTTAACTATATTGAGGAAAGTCCCCTCTATCCGCATTTTGGCAAGGTCTTCATCATGATTGGGTGCTGGATCTTGTCAAACGCTTTCATCAAAAAATGGGGCAAGGAAATGAACAGCAACTTTCGCAAAGAAGAAATCCGAATGGCAAAAAGGCACATAAGAAAGTGCTCTACATCACTAATCATCAGAGAGATGCAGATCAAAACAACAGTGAGATATCATTTCAAACCACAGAGACTGGTCCACATCCACAAGAACAAAAGCAACTGGTGCTGGCGCGGATGTGGCAAGAAAGGGACCCTCCTTCACTGCTGGTGGGAATGCCGGCTGGTCCAACCCTTTTGGAAAACAGTATGGACGATTCTCAAAAAATTAGAATTTGATCTCCCATTTGACCCAGCTATAGCACTCCTGGGAATATATCCCAGAGAGGCAAAAAGGTATAGTCGAAGTGACATCTGCAATTGTTTGTTCATTGCAGCACTCTTTACAATAGCCAGAATCTGGAAAAAACCTGAGTGCCCGAGAACAGATGACTGGTTAAAGAAACTTTGGTACATTTACACAATGGAGTACTATGTAGCTGTTAGAAAAGATGAAGTTATGAAATTTACATACAAGTGGTACTACATGGAAAGTATCATGTTAAGCGAAATGAGTCAGAAAGAGCGGGATAGACACAGAAAGATTGCATTCATCTGGGGAACATAAAGCAACAAAAAGGGAGACTAACACCCAGGAATGGCTGAGATTAGTACCAGGAATTTTGCTCCATGACTTGAATGCCAGCCACACGTGCCAGGTGAAAAGGAAGCTCAGATAGAGAAGAGAGCACCAAATAAAGGGTGTTGTGAGGATCCTCCCAGGGTGGGAGAAGCATGCTGAAAGTAGACTATAGACCAAACATGATTACGACTCAATGCCTCTCTTGCAAAACACAGGCCCCAAAAGAAGAGAGAGAGAACAAGGGGGAATGCCCTGCCACAGAGGCAGGGTGGGATGGGGGAGATGGCGGGGTGGGAGGGATGTTGGGACCCGTGGTGGTGGAGGATGAGCACTGGTGGAGGGATAGGTACTTGATCATTGTATAACTGAAACCCAAGCACAAAAATTTATGTCTATAACTGTACCTCATGGTGTTTCACTAATAAAAAAATTTTAAAAAAAGAGTAAGAGAGAGAGAGAGTGTGTGTATGTCAGAGAGAGAGACAGACAGGCAGAGACAGTAATCAAGTCTAAGTCACTATATTAAATGATTAATTTACATCCTTTTTATTCTCCGTTGAATTTTTCTACTGCTTTACCAACCTTATTTTGAAAGGAATTAATACAAAACATTTTCTTTGCCTAGGCCTGCTGTCAATTTCTTTCCTTCTTTTATTTTTATAATAAAAATCTATGTACCGGCAAATCCTTTTTTTTCAGCTCCTAAAAGTCTAGTATTTTTATAGTTGGGAAAATAATCTAAATTATACATCTATAATAATATAAATAAAATCAATGTGATATTTATTTTAACATTTTATATAAATGTAAAATTAGAAAGACTGATTTGTTTTTCTGAGAAAATGCTTTTTAATGCGTGTGTACTTTGCACCTTGTCTTTGAGTACTTAGAGTGAAAGTTTAATGAAAGGAACATAAAAGGGTATTAAAGGCTTGTCTCAGAACTCTGGTGAGGGCATAAGGGAGCTAGAGGAGACAATGCCTCTGTTTCTGTGTTTAGCATGTGTGTTGTGTGTGTATATAAACACATACTGAGACTTAAAAAAAAATTAAAGCAGTTTTAGGTTCACAGCAAATTGAGAGGAAGGTGCAAAGATTAGCTGTACCTGACTCCCTTGCCTCCCTATTTCCTCATTTGTCAACATCCAGAGCTACAGTGGTACATTTATTACAATCAGTTGATCTGCATTGACACGTCACCATGACCCAAAGTTCATTGATTGTTTGCACTAAAATATTGTACGTTCTGAACTTGAACAAATGTAATGATGCACATTCATTATAATATTATGCTGAATGTTTTCATGGCTTCTATGAATCCCCTGTGCTCTGTCCTTTATCTTTCTGAACTCCACCTCCTAGCGACCTTTTATCTTTGTATTAGCTCCATAGTTTTGCCCTTATAGATTGTCATACAATTCTAGTCATGGAGTACATAGGTTTATTGGACTGACCACTGAAGAGCTTAAGGTTCTTCCTTGTGTTGTAATTTGATAGTTTATTTTCTTTTAACACCAAATAGTACTCTGATTTTGGGGGTATAATTTATCTACTCACAAAAAGACATTAGTTGTTTCTAGGCTTTAATTTGGACACTTAGATTATTTTTTTAATTTTTATTAATGAAACACCATGAGGTACAGTTGTAGACTTACAAAGTTTTGTGCTTGGATTTCAATTATAAAATGATCAAATACCCATCCCTCCACCAGTGCCTATTTTTTACCACCACGGGTCCCAGTATCCCTCCCACCCCCCATCCCTCCCATCCCACCCTGCCTCTGTGGCAGGGCATTCCCCCTTGTTCTCTCTCTCTCTCCTTTTGGGTGTTGTGGTTTGCAAAAGAGGCATTGAGTGGCAATCATGTTTGGTCTATAGTCTACTTTCAGCATGCTTCTCCCATCCTGGGAGGATCCTCCCAACACCCTTTATTTGGTACTCCCTTCTCTATCTGAGCTCCTTAGGGGTGGCATGTGTGGCTGCCTCCAAGCCATTGCGTTCATCTGGGAAGTCATTGCGTTCATGTAGGGAACATAAAGTAACAAAATAGGAGACTAACACCCAAGAGTGGCTGAGATTAGTAACAGTTGGACACTTACATTTAAACTTGTTAAACATACAAGTGTTTCAACACCCAAACGGAGAGAGA